GTCGCCAATTCAGCTGCTCTCAAATAGCATTTAATCCTTGTACTTTGTCCACAATTTAAATGAATCGGCAAGTGCCCGGCATTGACTGAAGTGATTCTTTCCCTGTTTGTGGAGTCAAAATCGAGAAAGAACCAGCTAAACGACTCTGCTTCATAAAATATATTTTCTAAAGGCTTTCGCCCACAATTAACCAATTCAATTTCCCCCTCGACAGTCTGACCATGATATAAAGAAATTGGAACGTCAACAAACCTGCAAGTCAGACTCGGTGATGTTGGAAACACAATCAACTCCAAAGCATGGTTTCTTTCATATATTGGCGTTTTGGAGATTCTTTGCTCTTTCGTTTCATTCATTCTTGGACCTCTCAAGTGAAACATATGTCTAGATCTACAAAATGCTTGCGAGTCTAACGCTGAATTTGCTTCAGAAGATGGCATACTGTTAAGAGCATTTTCCACAATAGCATCGTATAATATTCGAAAACTCCAACAGACACCTTGAACACTCAAAAAACCTTCACAGAGAGGTTTCAGTTCCAATCTTATTTGTTGAACTGAGTCCGGCAAAATTTCAAGAGCCGAGTCAGAGAGTTCGAGAAAGCGATACTCAGAGTCTTGATCTCTTGTATGAAGTTGCACCATACTGTCACCTTTCTTAGTAAACTGAAAAATAACATCCAAGTCAAATAACAACAATGGAATTTGGAGAGGGTTGTGGACTTCTATAATGAGGTAGAATGTTTCTCCTGCGATGCAAGGCACTGGTTGTCTCCAAGATTCTTTGTAGGGCAAAGGTGTCATAGTCAATCGTTTTACTTTTTGTCTTATTCTTCTGGGCGATGATGGCAGATTACTTGCTTTGTTTGAGTCTCTACTTGACTTATCCCATCGCTCTGCCAATTCCACTAGAGAACATTCGAGACTACTCCATTTGGAGCATTCTTCGTCTGATGCATATGAAGGATAATCAAAAGTCTCAATGTATGTTCTCTTATCAAGTGTTATCGGAAAATCTATCACAAGTTTCTCCTCGTTTGTTGTTTCTTCATGTTGCCACTGACGCGAAATATTAAATAGGTCTACTAAATGCGAGACCTGTTTATCAAACCTTTCCTTTACAAAAAGTTGCAACTGTGAAAGGTAATTGGCAGCTTCCATTAACTGACCAAGTTGAAAATAGATATGCCCAATTAATGTGCATAGATGGCTTTCTATCCTCGTCCAGCCAAGTGCTAATATCAAAAAAAATATTAACTCTTCGATGGAGCTTAAGAGTACAAATGCCTTCTCACATACCTTGATAATTATAGTAGGCATCCAAATAAACTCGCAATGCATGTCGATACATGTTTGCCTGTCGGAAACGGAAACCTGCTCGAACTAGTTGAAAGGCATGACGTCGCCATCTGTCGCAAACCAAATAACACAAAGCAGCTCTCTCGTACAACACTGCAGCACGCACATGGGTGCTCTTATATTGTGAGGGTAGACATATCATGGTACAAGTCTTTAGCAACAATGTGCCCAGGTCTTCCTTCAGTTCCACTGCCAGGAAATAATCTGAAGCATACAGACATGTTCTCGTTGCTTCATTTGGAACCTTTGCGAGCAAAAAGTTTTCGATAGCAGTGTTAAAATGTCGCATAATCTCCTTTGGTGAACCATTTAACATTACAAGACACAGAGCTATCATTTCCTCTGACTTTGCAAAGTAAGGAAAAGACTGGTCCGCTCTAAAATCATGTGATGCTAAACGATAGTATTCAATGGCTTCCGCATATTCTCCCAACATGAATAGTATATCTGCCAACTGTCGAACTCTGCTTTCAGCTGAAAAGGCCAGATAAGTAAGAGAAGAATGAAGGCCACCACCAACGACTCCTTCCCTTGGTCCACGATCAGTACGAAACAAAGCTTTTATTTGATTGCGTACACCCCGACGAAGGCGTTCGACTAGACGATACAGAGTCAGGAGTCGCTGCTCAATAGAAGCTCCAACGAAGCTTCGTATTAAGTCTCCTATCATTGTGGAAATGTGGGGATCTAAGCCCAGTGTTGTAATACTACAAAATTTCTCGGTCTTATAACTTTCTATTCTTGTAGTACTGTAACTGCTATCGGCATCATGCAAAATTGACTTCTGCGACTGCCAGTCATTTTCTTGATCGTTATCTTTTGATTGCTGTTGGATATCCCAGTCTGGAATTGACAACACCTTACCAACACTTGGACCATATATCTTTCGAAGCTGTGTTAAAGCTTTCCCTGTAGCTGCAGAGTCGACTGAACCACGTTCGAGCAACAGAAAACACTGAGGAGCGTCCAACTCCAATATCTCCTTTTCATACACAGAAGATATAGAAGACGCCTTCGGCAATACTTCCTCGATATTTGTTGCCAGCTCATCACCTAACGAAAAAAAATAAAATCAAAACACTTTGCAAACCAGACGGTTCCTAACCTTCTCCAACCCAACATACAACAACTACAGCCACAGGTTGCCCAAAAGAATGGTATTCTGAAGTGACAAGAAGTGATTCCAAGTAGTCCCTATACAAAGTATACCAAAAAGGTTCTTTACAGCAGAAAGATCCACCGTTTCGCTTGTAGTATTCGTATGTCTTTCTGTAACTCTCCTCTTGAAGATCTCTGTGGTCAAGTCTTTCTTCTTCTAACGCGTTAATCAACGCACCATCAAATTCAACCCCTTCCTGTACACCAAGTTCCTCTATGGAGACAAACCGTACCTTAAAGTCTTCAAAAGATATTTCGGTTTGCTTCTTGAAGTGTGAAATACTAACTGGAGTGCACTGAACTTTTGCAAGTTGTGACAAAAGCGCGGCACAATTCCAACCAGAGATATTGCAGCTCTGCAGAACTTGCTTCGCAATACGGTTTGCAGCGTGTGTCGCACAAACCAAGACAATCGGCTTGTGACGACTCTGCAATTCATCCTTGAGGAGATCCAAAGAAGTTACTGGAAGCTTTTTTGAAGTGTTTCTTGTCTCTTCAACCAATGTGTCGTTAAAAACTAACGACCTGGTTTGGTTGAAAGTTGCTTCCATTGTTTAAGTCTGTTTGTGTGAAACACAACGGCAAATCTACGCACCAATCGCCTTCAGTAATCAGGATTGAACACGAGTGAAAAACTTTCTGAACTTTCTTCAACAGTTTTCTTCCAAGTCTAACCAATTAAATTAAAGTAGAAATGAACAGTATATATCAAATAAATCAAGACATTAAACTAACTTAGAAAGGTAATATATAATGAAAAGCTCTTTGGGAAATATTCAATTTGTAACGATGAAGAGAACAAGACAAGCCGGAGACATAGATTTAGAAGAATTTAAACATCCATAAAGTTGAACTATTAAAGGACTCATTGACGGTTATGTAAAGTCAGTTTAAAGAGATCTTATGTTTTCTAGTATGAGTTTCAGGTCTTGATTTGTGATTGAATTTTGCTCGTAAGGAGTTGAGCAAGGACACTTTGACACTTTTTATGGCTCACTGTTTCGATTGTCTGCTTTCACATTAGCAGTTTAAATAGTGTCAAAAGATATTAATTGAAGAATGACATTAAATCTTGGAAGAAGACTGGCTGTATTGAATGAGAAATTATCAATCAATGGTAGAAAAAACTTTTACTGCTTTGGGCATCATTATTTATAGAGATTTTTAGCAGTCAATAGACCATTGTAAGATCAATGCTCCACAATTTCATCGGATCGGCTTTGAATTCAAAATGATCGATTATTGAGGGCCATTCTCACTTGTTGTGCAATGAACCGCGCAAATAGCCATTGCCGTGAAGGCGATGTTCTTATATCTAGCGGTGGAAATGATTTGTCTCCTATTGACACTTTAAGAAGGCGGAAGACCCCAACTACT